GTTTAACCATTTAATTTATACCAATTACAATTACATTATAAAAAAAATAAACATTTAAATTATACCAATTACTATTTACATTATCAAAAGATAAACATTTAAATTATACCAATTACCATTTATAATATAAAAAATAAACATTTGAATTATACCAATTACCATTTACATTATAAAGTTTAACCATTTAATTTATACCAATTACCATTTACATCATATAATGTCTTATCATTTATTATTTGTTTATCAGGTTCCTCTCATGGACAGGGTTGGTCGGCGAACTTTGCATCTTAGTGGATTGGCTGGTATGATTTGTGCTGCCACAACATTAACCCTTGGATTGATTTTATTAGTGAGTTTTATTTAAATTGATGACATCATGACACAAACTTTGAATGCATTAACTGGAGTGTGTGCAACGCAATGCCTTCAGGTGTCCCACAATACCTCAAGCCTGACCCGGTTTATACCTATGAGAATTCTAGCTCATTTAAATATTTTGCTCTTTGCATGTAAATGACATGCTTATTGGGGCCATTTGCATGATTCTTATAACACTTGAAACTCACATGCTTAATAAGTAGTCCATACACTAGCCAAAAATAAGCAGTAAGTCTATGGCATATTTACTCCACACATATTTGATCATGTCATATTCCACATGTTATAGGCATTATATTTAAATGGCGTTGGTCGTCGTGCTTGGTAACATCTTAGTTTGTACTCGTTGATATGCACAGCAGTCAAAGTTTTTATCTTTGTTTATTGTTTATATCTCGCACAATGGTGGCACTACGATTACCAGACTTTAACAGAAATATAATATATGTCACATGATTACCCCACATGCTTAACAAAATAAACATGCATAGTCGTCATTCAGGGAGATATTAACACCCAAATTGACAGTGAAATCATTTTACAACATTTATAACTGTGCTGTCATTTGCATTCAGTGATGCCATTTCTCGTCATGTATGTGCAACATTGTTGCTTGGTTCAATGTAAACAAAGGAAAGCATTCAAATGCAACACAAATTGGATACATAATATCTAAATGAGGAAGATGTTCGTAGTGTTTTTGAACCTGTCCATAAAGTTTTTTTTTTTTTTACAAATGTCTATTCGTTTTTATTATCTGATTTTATAATATAATATTTTGTGATTTATTATTGTCTATGTTTTGACTGATCACATTCAAATTTAACACAAAAATTATGTAGGATGACTCACATAGGCAATTTATTTTGTTTCCCTTGATAATATACTGCATTTTGGTTCAAATTTGTTAACTTCTTAAAATAAAACGTACCAGGACTGCTACTTAGAGATGAACAGGGTGATTTCATTCAAACTTTGTATCATGATCATGTGTATTGGGTCACAGGTGCATGTTATATTTGTATTCATGTCCATGCCAGTTTTTTGAGATATAGCACCTGATTTAGGTGAAAGGTTTGTGCAAAAGTACTATAAGATATTAATTTGGTAGCTTACATTAGCTTGCATAAAATCACAATCTGTGTCGGAAAGAATTTCTCACAGATGGACTGTGCAATTTGATTCACACTTTGTATGATGGTCCTGCCCATTGTACATTATGGCTGTAAATAACTAAACTACATTTACTCATAGAAATATGATGTCTGGAATGGTGCTGCTATTATAAGTATTATTAGCACCATTGTCTTTGTTGCATCCTTCAGTATTGGACCAGGTAAGCTTGTAATTAGTGCTGCAGAAAATAGAATACCAATACTCAATGTCAATAAACAGTACACTCTGACAACATCAAAATCTACAAAGAGAGTCAAACACAGCATAGTTCAGCAAATTGTCTTGATTGAAATATGTACAGTAATATCATATCTGCTATTCAATGGAGAGTTTAGGGGCAATCCAGCATAACTAAATTAATGTATTACATATTGGTTACAATCAATAATGATGAATCACATCACAGTTTTTGCAATTCTGTTTTATCCTTCTCATAATGCATCCCTGCTAACACCATCATAAAGTGACTTCTTGTCAACAATTAAAAAGAAAATCAAACAGTCTAAATAGGTTCATTATTTAGTTAATCCTTCATACACATATTATTCTTTGTATTTTTTCCAGGTTCTATTCCTTGGTTGATTGTGGTAGAATTGTTTGCCCATGGAGAGCGTGCAGCTGCAATGAGTGTTGCTTATCCTATTAACTGGTTGTCAAATTTCTTGGTTGGCATTTCTTTTCCTGCCCTGCTTGTGAGTATATGAATTAGTATACTATACAAACACATTATTTCTTTCACTGTTGGATCCTGTGCTTGAAATCAAACGTAAAACAGGACAAACAAAGGTCATAGCATCAACAAATTGCATGGATTTAACAAACTGTGAAGTATTTTGGGCGTATTTCCAAACCTAATAATGTACATTACATATTTTGATTAAGGTAGCAATCATCTCTGAAGGATCTAGATTGAGCTATATATAAAGAAAATTTCAAATTATTTGATTTTTGCAGCTGACGTTCTGCCCATGCTTTTCATACATTACCCAAGGTCTCAAAGTGAACTGAAAATTACATATCATGTGTAGAAATAACTCCATGCTTAAAATATATCCAACAAATTCATAGTTACAAAAATAAATTTCCAAGACTTTAGTATCTTGATATCAATAATGTTTTTGTTTTTTTCAGAGTGCACTTAATGCATACGTCTTTCTGCTGTACATTGTACTGTTATTATTTTTCTGGCTATTCACATTTAAATTTGTTCCGGAAACCAAGAACAAAAGCTTTGAAGAAATTGTGTCCATATTTCGACAGCAGTCAATGAAGGACTATGGTACTAGTGATGTGACTGACAAAGATAAACCCAGTTGACAAAGTCTCATAACCAGCGTCTGAAGATAATACAATTGAGGGCTGCATAGTCCCACTGTATTGTATAGTCATGTATTTACAAATGTGAATGTATTTGAAAGTGAATATTTAGAGCATTAGGGTACAATATTGTTTAAGTTTAAATCATCATGACGTAATTTATAAATGCACGTCTTTCTTTTGGATTTTTCAAATAAATTTGCATTCGATGCATTCTCAAGTTTGAAAACTTTTCTACCAAAATGTATGACAACAGAGATAACTTCAGAAGATTTCTAAGTCGATTTCAAAATTGTCACTATAGCAATATTCCAATCTGTGGGATATGCATTTCTCAGTTAATTTATGTTAGGTGATGTATTACATATATGGTAATTTTTAAAACAAACACAGTCTCATATTTTTCACATGTATTATATTATGTCAAACTTTTCCATTCTCCCCAACCTATGGGATCAGCATTATTCAATTAATTATGTTAAGATATGTAGTGCAATTATGTATAATGTTGAAATCGTTCTAGTCTCTTTTTTTTCTTCCTTTTGAAATAAACGTTTCTGCTAAAAGCTGGCCAACAAATATAGCAATGAACAGATGATCTTTGATCTCAGTCACTCACACACTTCATACTAGTATTCCAAATTAAGATCTTCCAAAAAGGGATTGCTCCATAAATTAAATTATTACATGGGGTAGAAAATGAAATGAACGCTTTTGCTAAAATGAGGTCAAATTGAACAAGGTTAATGGTCAAAACTTTGCACTGAACAAAGAAACTGCGATTACTGGAACCAATAAGAAGATGAATTTGCATTTTTTCATTAAATGTAAATTGTACATAGAAACAAGTAAGAAGCTTTACAGAAAACTGAGAATTTTGAATTGTTACAAAGACAAAGACAATTTTTTTTACATAATAACTGAAAATTGTAGACAAACGTTAAGTCAATCATTGCATTAAAGCATTTTCTGCTAGAGACAAAAGTAGACAAAACTTATTCTTTTTTAAAGACTGCATTGTCTGTTTTATTATTATATTTATAATATATTTTGTATCTTTACTATTCATGGCTTAATGAATGCAAAGCTGTTGATTTGAATGTTGATTTGGATGTTGCCGACATGGTTATGTGATCGTCTTCATTTTATAATTTTGATGATAATACACAGTTTGTATTTTCGTCTTATTTGTCATCAGTCAAAATATTGAAGTGGTTGTTAGTAATCGTAGTTCCTTGTAATTATTCTATGTGACCACTGACTGACTGATTACATACTACTAGTACCACCGATACACAGTCATCTGGCGCACATCTGATATAATAAAATAAATGCGATATTTACTATATGG